GGGCGGCACGCCCAGGCCGCCTCCGCGGGTTCCCGGTAGGCGTGCGGCTCCGGCGACGGCTTTGGCGAACGGCTCCGACTCAGGCCCGGGATGCGCGGGACGCGCCGAGCAGCAGAGAGGAGGGCCGGGCGCGGCCCTGGGCCTAAACACGCGAGACAAGTGAGGCGGGGTTCGAAGCGAAGCGGAGAGGAGGATACGCGCGCCCCCGCGGACCGCGCCGCCCCGCCCCTAGCCCCGCCCCAACCCGGTTTCCCTCTGCCCCGGAGGCTCCGCCCTTCCCTATGCCCCGGAAGCAGATCCGGCCGGGTGCGTAGGACTGTCTTCCTGCTCTTCGTCGCTCTCCCGGATGAGACGAGTACTTGGTGCCCCTACGCCGCAGCCGGTACCAGAGTCGTGGTAGGGAGTCCCGGACTGGCGCGATGAGGCGGAGTGACTTTGTGTTGACGTTGTTTGCGTGTGTAAGGACTTCCGCGTCGAAGTTTGCTGTGGCCCGGACTGTGACCTCGTCCCAAGCCTGGAGTAAGCCTTGGAGACCCCGGGCATTTTAATGTCGAATTAACTGCCGAGAGTTTTGTGTTCCGGGGGATGGGAATAATGTGAAGGAGAATCCTGTCTTTGCCCTTTGATGTCTTCGCGGCTGTCTCCCGGTCCTCTTCCAGCCCGCCGCTTCCTGTGCTGGGACGAGTGTAAAGTGACCAGAACAACCGCTCATCCTTTTCCCAAGTAGTGACGGAATCATGAGGCGAGGCGTGTGTGCAAGGTGAAAGTGGCCCACGCAGAACTTTTGCATCTTCCTGCCTCAGTCTCCCAGAGCGGTGTGGGATGAAAGGCGTGCTCGACTGCACCTGGTTTCTCTCCTCCTAAGACCTCAAACCATAGCGTTAATATAAATGTCATAATTTGGGGGTTGTACTGGGGATTGAACCTCGGTGCACACTACCAATGAGCTACATCCCCAACCCTTTTAATTTGAGATAAGATCGCAGTAAATTGCCCATGAGGCTTTGAAGTTTTGATCTTCCTGCCTCAGCCTCTTGAAGAGCTGGAATTACAAGAGTGTGCCACCACCACCCCCGTCCTGAATTTTACAAATTTTATTTTATTTTGTTTTATTTTATTTTTGGTACCAGGAATCAAACTCAGGACGTTGCGCTTGCCGAACAAGGCACTGTACCGCAGAGCTATAGCCCCAGCGGTTTTATAAGTTTTAGCTATCTAATATGCCTGAGTGGGTATATCACACACATGGTTAATAATTGGGTGCCTACTCTTACACAGTGCCCCAAATTACAAAGCGGAAGTTAGAAGAGACAATGTGGAAATCCCTCTCTTAATTCTCTGCCACTTTACCCACATATTGTACCCCAGCAAATCTGAACATACACAATCCCTGGCTTGCAAATATGCCCCAATTCACACTTTGCTGGATATCAAAAATGTTAGTACAGCCTTAATTATTGTCTTGTTGCTATGTACCCACTCTCTCCAGGGCTGCAGTTCTTTTACATTTCTTCTTTCGTCCGGTCAGTGTCATCACTTTGTAGCCATGTATTTCCCAAGGACATCTGCCACATCCAAATGTCATCACTTCAATTCAGAACTTGAAGCATTTTAAAATATGAACTAATAAATGTATAAACATTACCCACAATGAAGAGATAACACATGTTAAAAAAAAAGACTAGAAATGGAGAATTAAATACTTATGAAGGCTCTGGCAAGATGTCTACACATTGCTAATGCTAGATAAATATCAATTCCCTTCTGTTTTAGTATCTGGATGTCGCCGGGTGTGGTGGTGCATGCCTGTAATCCCAATGGGAGGAGGCAGGATTACTGCAAGTTCAAGGCCTACCTGGGCTACATAGTGAGTTCAGGGGCAGCCTGAATTATACAGTGAGACCCTGTCTCAAAAACCAAAAGAAAAAGTATCTGGATGTCTCAGAACATAAAAAAAGAGCTGGAAATTGGGCTCAGTACACAGGCACTGGGCTCAATCCTCATTACCAAAAAAATACAAAGAGGAGAAAGAGAAACAGGAAAGCATGTAAAGAACAGCACAACTCTCTGCACGCACTGGCTCAGCCAGGTCATTGGGCATTGTTACCAAATAGTTGCTCATGGAGGTGGGGAAGGCGTGTCTGGGGGTCACCCTTGGATAGTACAGCCTCTGGTCTGCAGTGATTATTCCATCCCCCTTTGTCTAGCTCCATGTGCTTTTTGACATTCCAGCCATAATCTTAGGAACACACCTCTTTTGACTTACTCAGAAGTATGACTTTGGTTACAGGCCTGAAAGAGGAAAGATAAGCACTAAGACCCCCATAGTAATTTATCTGGGTGCCAATCCTCCCACTTGAATACACACATACACTCATGCACTTCAGACCCCAGGCAGAAATGCTGTGGGCCTGAAACTGTCACTTTAAGAAAAATTATAGAAGGCTTTGGGTATAGCTCAGCTGACATGGTGCCTGCCTGGCAAGCACAAAGTCTTGAGTTCAATTCCTGGTTCCAAAGACAAAGGCACTAACCACCACCTAGCAGAGATGATGTGATCCAAAATGAAAGATGTTCGTTTTTGAACCACCTGTTAAGTGCCATGCACTAGACTGGTTTTTGAGTTGCGGTTTTTGTTATTGTTTGTTCTCATTTTTTTGTACATCTAAGCCTATTCTATTATCCCACAGACACTAATGCTGTTAGGTAAATCTGCCAAGGTCAAAATACTAATAAATGACTTACCTAGAACTTGAACTGGGTTTTGAAATAGGTAAGAATTTGAACTGGGTTTGGATTCCAGAGTTCCCATTCGGCTGCATCCACCCCTACCTTCTATCCACACCTATAAACAGATGAGAAAAATCTACAACTTTCATGAGTCAAAGAGACTAGTTTTTTTTTTTCTTTTTTCTCTTCTGAGGGAAACTAGGAGCTCACTGCTTAGGAAGCAATCTATATTCTGAATGGAAGGATAAAGGAGTGAGAGGAGCCATGTTATTTCTGAGAGGTTCAGCCTTGACCAGAGTAAGAAATAGGCAGCAACATCACTTCTCAGCCTTTCGGCTAAGATCAAGTGTAGAAGACAGGCAGCAGGGGTGAGGAGCAGCATTAGGTAGAAGTAACAAGTGCATCTAATTACAGCATTGCCAACATTATCACTTGGGAATCAGTGCAGGTGCAGTCCCCTCAATAGCAGATGGGCATAATGCACAGTGGGGAAGGATCAGTATTGCCACAAGGCCCTGTCTTCAAGATGGGGGAAAAAAGTATTCTAGATCTATTCACACCCACCTGCTTTTGAGCAGAAAAATATCTTGGGTAATATTTTCTTTCCTGCATCTTTCTCCATAATCACAATTCCAGAATTTGGTCATTGTAAAGAAGTAAATATATAGAAGATGGTGGACTAGCAAAGACACTTGCAGTGGGGCTGCAGTAGTGGTCTTTAACAAAATCTTCTGTGGACTCACATCTTTAAATTATATCAGTATTAACATTCATTATTTATAAGACCTACTTAAAAAAAACAAACTGATAATGGGCTACCTTAATTGAATCAGGTAAAGCATAATTACAACCTTACATAATTACAACCTTACACACCCATCAACATGTACTATGAATCAATCATTTGCACAACTCCTGAATTCCCCTACATACTGCCCCCTAGAACATAGGAAACACTGAGCCCACAACCAGGGTCTTTGATCAAAGAAGGAAGGAGCATGCACAGTGCAGGGGGCAGGGGTGAGGGGCTGCTCAAGGTACAGCTTCCCTTTGCTTATTACCTTGGTAGACAGTATCCTGTATCAGTTATCAGATGTTTCTAAAGCAGTTATGAAATATCAAGACCTTCCATCTGTTGTACAACTGATGCTCTTCTCTCATGCTTTTGCTTTCCAATGACCTCTTAGCTGTGTCGCTATATAAGGCCACCTTTTGGTACTTGACGAGAAGCCGACCAGAATGTAACCAGCTATAGAGGAGATACTTACTTTGATAGCCACTTCAATTTGACCAGTGTGGGCAGTTCATTTATGGATCAAACATGCCTTTAGGGCATGCTTAGCCAGGGGACACAAACATGGGTAAGGTGTATTTCTTGCCCTTGAGAAACTCATAAGCCAGTAAGGTAAACAGTTAAAAGAACAAGGTAAAACATGTCCAGCAGTGCTTGCAACCAACTACTGGTACAATCTGAAAAGAAATGCCAGCCTGCTACCTATGCATAACTACATTTATCCCCTATGGATACAAACTAGATTCTACTCTGTGCAATTTATTCCTGTGAAGTAACAAAATCTCCAGAGATTCTGTCAGAATAAAAATTCCCACAAGAAAATACAACAAGAATAGCTAGATTTAAATAATAACATCAAGTCTTTTGGATCAGGAACATTGTGTTGAAAAGGATTCTGAGGTCATGTTCTGGGTCAGAAGGGAAGAATGCTGCCCTGAGGGAAGGTGGGGAAGATGGCACTTATTCTACATACTTTCTATCCATGACCAAAGCAGGGAAATCCATTGTGGATAGTCGGGAAAAGGCCCCCTTGAAACTGGGTTATCTACTTCAAACTAAATAGTTTAAGAAGCCCAGTTTCTTTCTTCCCAAACTCTTCCTTCTTCAGTAGTCCATGCTAATTAAAAATGGAAATGATAAATGTATATGTGTTCCTGAGATCCACAGTATACTTTTAATGAATTCTGACATCTAACAGGAAGGATCAGGCATAGACCCAAAGTGAAAGAAGCTTCTTTGTGCCCATCCACTGTGCTCTCTCTCATCTTCCTCAGCTATGAGGCTCTCCATTTTGTAAGGAGTAGCATTTGGCCCAGCTCAAAGACAGCTGGCCACCTACGTCTGCCCATTGAAATGTGATTGAAAGCCTCCAGGAAAGCCCTCTGAGGAGGCTTCATCTTTTCTGCTTCTTGGTATGTAAAGGACCAGATGGCTGGCATTCTATTATCTACCTTGATGACCTTGAAGATGGAACCCACAGACTAAGATACTACATTTTTGAAACATAAACTGTGTTGCATAAACCATTGATGTGTTAAATTTCCAATTTCTATGCAGCCAAATCTTATCTTGATCTGGGCAAGATTTCATATTACTTTTTTACTTAGCTTTATGTATTCACATTGACAGCTCTTATTGATAGGGCCTCCAGATAATAGGGACATTGACCAATAGCTATAGGGCAGTCATACTTGGCTTGCCATACTAGTATTATAGGCGGCCAAGTTAGAAATTAATATACAGTCAGAAAGGGACGTGGGTCTCAAGGAAGTCGGCAGAAAAAATAAAGACATCAGAATTGTTACTGCTGTCTAGGAGTAGAGGCCAGAGATGCTGCTAACCACCTGCAGTGCACAGGGCAGCCCTCACAACAAGGGACTGTGCCACCCAAAATGGCAGGAGTGCCAGAACTGAGAACCCCTGTCCTAAAGTGTCTAGTTACATACTTCACATGTATCATTTATACTTTATTTCAGAGTGTACATGCCCTAATACTTGGCATAGCATCTGAAGGAAAATGGTAGAAACAGCATTATCTAAAGAATTTATCTCTTGTAGCTTCTCACTGAGAACTATTTAAAAAGAAAAAGTAACACTTTTTTCCTAAGAAATAAAGATTGTTAATTTCAAAACACTTCTTAAAATTAACTTCACATAGACAAACTTTTTTATGAGAAGGTTTTTTTGTTTCATTTTTGTTTTGGGGGGTTTTTATTTTTTTGAGGCAAGGTCTTGCTATGTAGTTCAGGCTAGCTTTGAATTCATTATGTAGCCCAGGCTGGCCTTAAACTCCAAATCGATCCTTCTGCCTCAGCCTCCTGACAGGCATGTGTCACCATCCCCACCTCAGATGGGCTTTTTAAACAATCCTTCTGGTTCCAGTTTATTTCACATCACTCTACAAATGCATATGTTAGTGTCTTGGTTACTCTTCTTTCGTTGCTGAGACAAAATACCTGACACCCAGAATTAAGGGAGGAAAGGTTTATTTAGCTTACAGTTTGTGCAGGTTTCAGTCCATATTTGGCTGACTCCAAGGCAGAGAGGAACATGGCAGAGGGCAACAGTTCACAGTGGCAGAAAACAGCAAAGCAGCAAGAGCACAAAGGGAGGAGGGGTGGCAAACACCTTCTTTCCCTCGCTTACATTGTATGCAAACTATCTGCCCCAGGGCGGGTGTAGCACTCACACCCATAATTCCAATGTTGGACCATAAATCAACCAAATCTAGAAGCCCACCCATGACTGCATGAGGCTTTGGGGAGACATCCAGAACCAACCCATAGCAGTTAGTCTGGAAATCTGCCTAGTTGCAGATATGCAGGACTATAACAGATTTTTCTCCTTTAAACTAATAGAGAATAAATCCTTTATGAGCTTAGAAGGCAAGAGCCTTTGAGAACACTGCTGAGATGATGTGCCACCACAGAAAATGCCACTGGACTTACTCCAGAGCAGAGGCAGTGATACTTTCTTCATATTAGCTCTCATTCAATATTTTGTTACTATCTTCCCCTTTTAATGGGATAGGAGAGATTTTTGATAATTTTTCATACTTCTATAACAATGAGATCATAGCTCTGTAAAAAAATTTAAGAGCCTCAATATTTTTCTGTACTATCATAAATTTTTCTCATACCAGTGAAGGATTTTTAAAAACTATTTATGATGACTAGGAATTAAATCATTTAGTCATAATTAATTTAATCATTCTCCACTTAATGCATTTTCATTTGTTTCTTTTTCAGTATAAGAAAAAACATTAATAAGCACTTTTATATGCTGATCTTTACATTTGCTTATTTTCATAAAAGGAATTAATAGAATTGAAATTTCTGAGTTATTTTGACCAGAAAGAAATAATTTTAAATCTCTTCATAAATGTTAACATATTTTAGAATGTTTATGCCATCTACCACATATAATTGATTCTTTACTGATACTCCAACTTGGAAAATTTTTGGCCATACTATGAGCTATAAGTGGATGAGTGTCCATTGTTCCTGACAGCATTCTTACATCCCTGTATCACAGCACTCAACATGTCTGTCTTTTTTACCTGCATTTCTCCAAGTAAGTTCTCAAGGAAAATGACAGATATTGTATTCCATAGCAGAACTTGTCCCAGTACTAAGATGGTAATACCTAAAGGCATCTAGACACTTTCTAGACTAATCTTCAGAAGTAGTAATTGTCACAATTTCAGTTTCCCAGTGGTGGACTGAGCACACTTTTGCATACCTCACCTAGGAAAGCAGCATACAAGTGGGGGCTTGCATTAATTTAAACCTAACTCTGATAAATATTTAGCATGTTGTCATTTTCCTAAGCTCCAAAGTGCTCTTAATACTCCTGTGGGTTTTTGGGGGAGGTTTTCGGGGTTTTTTTGTTTTTTGTTTTTTTGAGACAGGGTCTCGCTATGTTGTTGAGGTTGGCTTTGAACTAGCTATGTAACCCAGGCTGACCTTGAACTCACAGCAATCCTGCCTCCACCTCCTGAGTGCTGGAATTATAAGCATGTGCCACCATGCCTGGCTATATTCTTGTATTTTATAGAGGAAAAACAAAAGAGAGAGAAAAATAGTTATTTTAATCTAGTATAGCCAATGTAGCTACAACAGTACCTTGATTTAGTGTATTTGTTTTATGTGTTTTATATGTTTTTTGGCCTGTTAGTCTGGCTGTTAATCTGTGTTTATGATAATTAACTTGGTAAAGACTTATAAAATAAATAAATGTGATGTTAGCCAAAAAAGTTTTAAAATGAGGGTAGAGGGGAAAGGGAAAAAAGAACTAAGATGTATTATGTGTATGTACCAATACTCCCAATGAATGTAATCATAATATACTGAAAACATGCACTAATAAAACTTTTTTTTTTTTTTTTTTTTTTATTTTTCTCCGGTACCGGGAACCGAACTCACGACCTTGCGCTTGCTAGGCAGGCGCTTTTGCCACTGAGCTAAATCCCCAGCCCCTTAATAAAACTTTTTTAAAGTAGTCTTGTATTTTGCTAGTGCAACAGATGAATTTACCTGCACAGTTTCCTATGGTACAGTATTACGATGCCCCTTGCTCAAGAACCTGAGAAACGTTACAAACCTCATAGAGACTTCTTCCTTAGTTATCATACTTTTTCATTTCCTAGAGATTTTACCTTAGCAAAGTATAAGAAGCTAAGTTTTAATGAATGTTGAATAGTCACTATGATAAATGCCAAGAAAAACAATGAATGATTCAAAGAAGGAAGGGACAGTCCTTATCTTCTGCCACCATTGCACCTCCACTTTCACATTTTTAACATTAGCCCCAAGGACTTGGGGTCTTTTTGGAAAATGAGACTAGTGCCATGACATCTGAATAGCTCTTCTTGCTGTGGTACTGGGCAAGAAGGAGGCCAGTCAAGGCCGGCACTCTCCCTTACTAGTGTGACTGGAGGACAGACAGCCCTCCTCTGCCTGGTGTCACAACTCCAGACCTAATAGGGAACCCAAAATTCTCAGTTGATCATCTTTTGGGGGAATGTAAAGCCTTAAAATCTCATCTCATCATCGATAAGTAAAACTGGAAATAAGCATGTCACTGTTCTCCAATAGCATAATAACAGCTGGTGTACCTGGTTAGCCAGCTAGGTCAACTCCCAAGGCACTAAAGCAAGGGAAGGACACAGGATAGCATCTTCAGTAAGCTCTGGAGCTAGAGAGAAAGGGGAATGAGAATACAGGGCCGTACTGAAAGGGAGGTTCAGGCCAAGAGCCACTATGGACAGTCTAGAGCACTCAGGAAAACAGGGCACCAAGTATCTAGAGAAACAGGTGAATACAGTAAAATCCGTGTAGGGAAGAATCCCAAACACACCCCCACTGCCTTCACCTCTTGCCAAAGTATATAGTTCATTGCCTTGCCTGGGAAGTTTCTGTGTATAGTGACAGGATCAGCACTCTATTACCTGTCTTCTGAACCCAAAAGTGTGTATCATAGTAATGCAAATGGAGTAGAAAAGGAAAAGGCCTTCTCAGGAGGTCAAAATATTTCCATCCTTCTAACAGTTGTGTCCACTCAAAAATGGTATTACTGATTTTAAAAAACTTGAACATTAATTATATATGTTAGTTGGGCAAAATATGCTAAATATTGTCACTTAATTTTTAACAGTGAAAACTGAATGCAAATCCCCACACATGATGACTACTCAAATAAATTCTGCTCCATGGAATGGAATTTATTATAAAAATAAGGACCTGCATCTACATTTATTGTTTAAAGAAAGCATGAAATATTGTTGAGTCAAGGCAGATTCCAAAGTTGAATACATCATCTGACCTGTTTATGAAAAGCTATATCTATATGAATATATATGCAAAGAGATGCTTTTAGGAATATTTTACAAATAGGCTGTTAGCAGCGGTTATCTACAAAATACATAACTTACTTGATTTTATTTTCCTCAGTCCTTTTTTCTAATTTAAATCCATAACTTTTCCAAAAGCAGCAATGCATTTCTTCCCTCCAAAAAAGAATAGCCTGGCTAAATCATTTTATGTCAAATGCTTTCACTCTGACAATCTAGGCCATTGTAGTTTGCTAAAACAAGATGGATTATAGACTAAATTCCATGCCTGTGATAAAATCTAAGCAGGAGCGCACTTCATCCATGAATCTAAGACTAGAAGACAAGTAGAACAATGGTTCTGATGCAGAAAAAATAGGAACTGGAATTTTGGCATTCTGTGCAAAGTGCTAAATAAACAGGTAAAATGTCTTGCCTTTGAGCACTTACTTTACTTAACTTACTTTGAAAGTATATTAGTTATGCTGTCATTTGGGTAAGATACCTTCTGTCCCATTGCTTAGACTCTGTCCTCTTGAAGGTCCTGCCACTTCACACCCCTTTCTTCCCATTCCCTTTGCTATACTCTCAATAACTGAAAGTGAGCAAACTGTATGTGCAGTTTACCTGTGTCTTTTTTTTTTTTTTTTTTTTTTTTGGTTTTTCTCCGGTACCGGGAACCGAACCCACG